TGGGAGGCAAACGGGCTGTATGGAATGGGGTCATCTTTGGGGATGTACAGAGCTGGGTTGGAATCTGGATGCCACTTACTTGCTGTGTGACCTTGGGTGGTTTCCAGACATTTCTGAACCTTGGTTTTCACATCTGTTAATTGGGGATAAAAATACCTGCCCCATAGGGCAAATAGAGAATGAGATGAGACCTTTTCCATGTGTATAATGCAGGTGATGAGAACATGAGAGCCCCCCATGTTCCCCAGACTCCCAGTTGAGAGAGAGGAGACAATTTCCCATCACTCCCTTTTAAGGTCTATTTTCAGAATCCTCATCTCTGGCCCCAGGACTGACCACCCTCCAGAGGGTTTGACTGTGAGAACATCTCTTCAGGGGAAATCCCATTCCCACCCACAAAGGTGTCATAGTCCCTGTCATACAGATAGAAAAATCCCATCTCATATGTTGGCTTATATCATATTAAGTAAAATCATAAATGAGGCATTGATTGACGTCCCAGTCCTGGTGAGGCTGTGCCTCTAGCAGAGCATTTTATTTTCAGCCTATTCTAATCATAGGTTTAAAAATATTGGATCCTGGTCTCATTTAGGATCAACTTATTTGGCCCCTATTGCTGGTGGTGCCCTGATATTCATTATCAATTTCTAACTGTGTCTGTGCCATCTGGATTAAAGACTACATTTCCCAGCTTCCCTTTCAGCTGGGCAAAGCCATGTGACTACATTCTGGCTGATGGGAAATGTATAATTATGTCATCTATTCCTGCACATCCTTAAAGGAAAGAAGCATTCCTTTTCCCAGCTGGCTGGAATGTAGAAAAGCACCATCTTGGACAAGGTGAATGAGAGAAAAACCTACAGATCACAGAGTAACAAAATAGAAGGAGCCTGGAATTTCTGACATCATGGGACCCCCACCCCCTAACCCCCCACCCCCCGGCATATGACCCCTGCAAGGCTTACTCTTAAACTATTAAATGAGAGAGAAATAAAATTCAGTACTATTTAACCATTGTCATTGTGGGGAATCTCTGTTTTAGCAACCAAATTCGTATCCTAAAGCATATGGTTTATCACTGTGTGAGTCACATGGCACATAGTAGGTGCTCACTAAATTACAGCTGTCGTTCATGTCTAGAGTTCTCCAGCTGACAATTGGAATGAAACTGCAGGCACTTATAGAGTGTCCTCGCAGGGGTAACCTTTAAAGGAGGTGCCTTAATGGAGATGAAGCAATATTGGATTAAGATAGATCTTTACGGAAAAAAAATAAATGCAAAAGACAGTAATACATTTGGTAAATCTGTGCGGGTGCATGAGACATATTTTATGGTGTAATGGGGATTTAAATGTGAGTTTCAGCTCTAGCGAAATGAAAGAATTGATTCTCTTGAAGGGGACTGGGCCTGGGAGAGAGGAAATTGGGGATTCTCTGGAGACTTTTTAACCTGAAGGTGGCCACTATCTTTTTTGCTATATCTGATGGCACAGCCCAGATATGCCCTATTTTACCCCCGATGATTAGAAGTGATGAAGCCACATTTTTGTTTGACCTTTGTTTGTCCTTCTCAGCACCGAGCATGTCTCTGAGAGCTTAGATTTTCCTCACAGGCCTGCTGCCCCGCAGAGAAGGGAAATAAGGAAGGGTTTGAGATTTTCGTTGGTTTCTCCAAGAAGCCAAGCACACCAAGATGGTGTCCAGCTTCCATTACAGCTGAGCCATCAGCCCAGATTATAACCTCTGTCCCAGAGGCCTTTGCTTGGGAGCACAGTAGGCTCCCTTGACCTCTACTAGAGCCCTTGGACCCTAGGCAAATCTTAAGTACCACCCAGAATCTACCCCCAGTAGATAAGCACAGGGGTTTGGGATTCAGGAAGACCTGAGTCCAAATCTGAACTTTTCAACCTTCCTGCTGGGTGTGTGAACTCAGACAAGTCAATTCGGTGTTTTTGAAGCTCAGTTTCTTCATCTGTGATGGGAAATTCACGTCTTCTTCATCTCACCGTTGTAAGTGCTTATTATTGCCCCCTGCCCTGGCTCAGAAGAATCAAGTCTTGAGATGAATTGACTAGCTCATTGAAAATAAATGTGCAAGCTCGATATGAGGGTGTGAGTTCAACTGCACAGCGAAATCCATCATTGATCAGCCCTGTGAGAGACCAGGTGGGAACGGTACACGGGACCTAGCAGAAAAAATGGTTTCAAGTCCTATCTCTGTTGCTAACTTAATGCTTGACATTAACTGTGTCCTTCCCATCCCCGGACCTCCGTTTGGTCACCTCTAAAATCCCTCCCATGATCTCTGCGGGTCCAGCAAAAGCCGGGCATCAATGGCACAACTTGGCCACGGTCCCAGAATGAATCAGCAAAGGCTAACGCCGGACAAGGAGCCTGATGTTGTTGAAAGCTCTGGAGCTTTTTCCAGAGCTTTAAACAACATCCTGCAAACACCAACTTAGCACTTATTTCATGCTGGGCACAACAGAAGGTGCTGTGAGTCTAGATATTTTTAAAAAAGCTAGATCCTTTGAAGAGCTTACTGTTTAGCTGGGGAGACAGAGACACAAGCTAGATCATTTCCCAGTGTCCCCCCAAATCCCCCCTGTTCATCCCTCCACTTGCAAAGAGAAGCCCTGTGAGTCCAGGACAGGCCTGTGGCTCCCCAAGCAGCTGCCACCTCACACCTTGCCTCCCTGTTGATTCTTGCAGCTCTGCTCTGCACCTCTGGGCTCTGACACCTGCTGTCCCTACCCCATGGGACCCTCTTCTAATCTGTTGGCTTGGCTCCCTCCTGGTCATTTTTCAGTTCTTAGTTCAGTTAGCCCCACCTCCAGGAAGTCTTCCTGGGTTCCCCAAAGCTGGGTCAGGGGCTGCTTTTCCAAGCTCCCAGAGCCCCAGAAGGCTGCTAGTGTAGCCCTCACTGGAAATTGTTGTAGTTACTTTGTTCATTCCCTGTCTTCCACTTTTTACTGAAAATTCTGTGCGAGCAGCAGGGATGTTCAGTACCTCTGGCACATCGTTGGAGCTCTGTAGAGGTGTGTTTATTCACTGAATGAAGAGTTGGGCTTTGAAGAATGGGCAGGAATAGAACAGGAAGGGAGAGATGGAGACAATCCTCCAGGCCTTGGGATGCAAGCATGTGTTTACATGTGTGTGCAGGGGTGAGGGGAGAGGGCGACAGGGAATGAACAGTGTGGGGGCTGCAGCCATCCTTGGCTGAGCAGACCCTCCAGCCCCCCAGCTTGATCTTAGTTCCCAGGAGAATCCACATTTTCCACGAGGAGGCCGAGATGCACAATGGAGAAGCCCCACCCCTGCAGAGTTTCCCTTAAGCATTTCCCCAGAAGTCTCCTGGGTACCCATGTGTCCAGAAGCCTCAAGGATGTTTGTCCTCAGACACCCTTGGGGCTTCATCCTTTAGGAAAGGGGTTAGCAAGCTTTTCTGCAAAGGGGAAGACAGTAAATATTTTCAGTTTTGTGGGCCATGCAGTTTCCTATGTGACTATGCAACTGTTGTTGGAGTGAGAAAGCAGACAAATGAGTGCAGCCGTATTCCAATAAAGCTTTATTTATAAAAACAGGCGGTGAGTCTGTTTCCACCACATGTGAGTTCATACTAATGCGGTGATTCAGAGTGGAGCCCTTAGATAGCTTCAGCATGAGGGCTGCTCACCGGAAAGACCAAATATGTGATTAGAGGGTGGGAACTTTCAGCCCCACCCACCGACCTCTGGGGAGGGGAGGGCTGGAGACTGAGTTATAAAAATTCTAGAACAATGAGATCCAGGGAGCCTCTGGGTTAGTGGACACACTGATGTGCTGGGAAGGTGGTAAAGGCATGGAAACTTGCCCTAGACACCCTGGCCCTGGACACCTCTTCCACTTAGCTGCTCCTGAGCTGCACCCTTAATAATAAACCTGTACGTGCACACAAAGTGCCTTCCTGAGTTCTGTGTCATTCTATGGAATTACAGAACCTGACTTGGGTTGTGGGAACTCCCTGAATTTGCAGTTGTCCAGGCAGAAGTGTGAGTAATCTGGACACTCCACTGGTGGCTGGTGTCTGAAGTAGAGACAGTCTTAAGGAACTTAACCCTGGAGCTGTGGGGTCTGCACTAATTCTGGGTAGTTAATGTCAGAATTGAATTGAATTGTTGGACACCCAATGATGTCAGAGAATTGATTGGGGCTGGAAAAATAACACACATTTGGTGTCGTAGAGTTTTCTGACCTCTGCTTTATGAGAATGCTAGCATCCTCTGAGAACAGGGGATCTCTCCCCAAAGCCTCCCAATGTGCAGATATGGCTGGGGGCTTCTAGCTCATTTATGTTCACCAATTATTTATTGAACACCTCCTGTGTGGAAGGCATTATGCAAACTGCTAGGGGTGCGGTGGTAATCAAGACAGACAAGATTCCTGTCCACACAGAGGACAAATTCTAGCAGACAAGCAATAAGCACAGAAATAAACAATACCCCCCCAAAAAAAACAAACAAAAAAAAAACACCACTAAAGAACATTCTAGGAAGGGCATTTATAGGGGATGTGATAGCAGGTACTCCATATATGTGGTGGGGTGGGGGTGCTGCTTTAGACATCCAGGGACGGGGCAGAGGATCCGTGGGGTGCACATTTGAGAGAGCCTTGAATGATGAGAAGGAGCCGGCCATGGGAGGAGCAGGAGGAAGAGAATTCTTGGAAGACGGAACAGCATGTGCAAAATCAGTGAAGTTGAGAAAAACCTGGCAGGTTCCAGGAGCTGAAAGGAGACCAGCTGGGTGGAGTGAGTGTATGGAGAAGTTTGTGTTTGGTGGAACAAGAGGGCCCTCCATTCTGTCGGCAGGATGCAGCTATTCCCTTTAACAAGAAGGCACTGTGCCTGTAGCTGACATTTTTTCCCTTTGAGTTGCATGAGAAAAATAATGTTTGTTGGGTACTGTACCATGTTAAATGCTTTCTTTTAATAATCTCTTTTATTAAAGCCCAACAACTTTATGAAATGTGGACTATTATTTTTATTCCCATTTAGCAGTTGAGGAAACTGAGGCACAGAGAAGCTTACCCGAATCAGAGTTAGCTAGGAAGTGGCATATCTGGGACTTGAACCCAGGGAGTGCAGAGGGCTGTTCTCTCAGCTGCCAAACTACTCAGCAGCTATTTTCCTTGACTACGTTTCCATCGGCCTCTTTGTCGGGTAACATATTTTCCTGGGCCCTCTGAAGCTGAGAGTGTAACGGGGTCACACTAACAGTGGCAGTACCTGTTTCACTGGGTGTCCCCGTCTGTGTCATGAAGGCCTTTGGGCTCTCCCCGCTCCAGGCAAAGTCTCACCTGTGGTGTTTCCGGCGCCCTCACGCGCTCCTTTCAGGCTGTGCTGACTCCAGGTCCCTCCTGTGCGGCCATTTCTCGCCAGCTCCTGCCACAGCCACCTGGCAACGTTGATGTGTAAGTCAAGGGTGGTGTCGGCTGGTGCCCCACAAACTGGAAATCCCTAACAACAACAAAATCCAATATCAACTGACATTTAGCAAAAACTTTCTATATACCTATAAGAGCACTCTCCTTCCATGCAGTAACTCATCGATTCCTGATGGCAAACGTGGGAGGTAGTCACTATTAATATGGCCATTTTACAGATGAGGAAACCAAGGTGCAGGCAGATGCAGTATCTTGCCCAAAGTCAGTTAGAAAGAGGCAGAGCCAAGATCTGAACCCGGGTCATCTAGCCCAGAGCCTGCAGTCTGCCCCCCAGGTAGTGTTGCATTCCTGCCATCCTTCCTGAGCAGAAGTCACACTGTGTGCCATGCAGAAATGCATCAGATGCCACCCTCTCCCTGCATGTGACCTACTTTGTCACTGAGCCTTCAGAGCTGTATTGCCAGGGGCCCCTTGTGTCTCACAGACACCCCTCAGCGTCTCTCTCCTCAGGGCTCAACCCCCAAAAGTGAGGCCCCCCTGCTTCCCTTTTTCTCAGATAGAATCCCTGTTGCTCAAATAATAAAAACTCCTACAACTTCTGCCCACTTGACAGTGTCCTTTTTCTTTGCAGGGAGGCTGGAGCCCATCAGAGAGAATATTTATTTACCCAAATCTCTGAGAAGCTCTGCATTCAGTCTGCTTTTTTTTTTTTTACCCCTTCAAATGGGCATTGTTCAATTGTAAACATCAGAGATTGACTTTTGAAGCCAAAATTATATCCTACGACCAAGACCGATTTTATGCTACAAAAGATTTCCAGGAGAGCTGCCGCAAGCATTTCATTTTCTCCTGGGGTAGGATGGGAAAAGGGCCCTAGAGGATCCAGCCCCTGAGGTTTATACCTGAAGGTCAACTGCCTCCCTGGCTGAAGTCTTTGAAGTCAAAGCAAAGTGGGATATCTGTGGCAAGGCAAGAGATGAAAGCCCAGAAGCTTCCTGCAAATGCTACCTACAGCCCGAGCAAGCTCTAACTCACGCTGATCCTCATTGTTGTAATAAACAAAGTTTCTGACCCGAAGCGAGGATTTGTCAGGATGCACCCGGCAGGATCTGAGATCTTGGCTCCTGGAGCCCATGTTTCAAGTCCTCTGCTGTTGGGAACAGTGACAGGGGTAGAGGACACTTGGCAAGAGCCAAAATCTCACAGGGGGCCAGGAAGTCTCCTCTGCATTGTGTTCGCTCACCGCCGGCACCTTTCATTTGTGCCTTTCGGTAGTAAAGAATGTGCTCCTTGTTCCCACGTCATTTTGCCACAGTCAATTTCATCAGCTGTTCCTTCCCCAAACCTCTGCCAAGAAGAAGCTTCTTTGGAATCACTGGGTGAAAAATTAGGCTCCGTTGTTTGTTGGAAGGCTGGCAAATTTCACTGTCTCCCCGCAGACAATACATCAAACGCAGCTACAAATGGACTTCAAACACAGGCGTAATGAATTGGCCACGCACTTAGGGCTTGGAGCTGGAGCAGGCAGCTCGAACCGAGTTTTACAAGCATGTCCCTCTACCGTGTTTGGAGCAGTTTCTTGCAGGCCTCAGTGGAGGCTCCAGAAATAAAGCTGTGTCTCAGGGCATCGAAATCCTCATACACTTATCACGTGTGTATGGGCAGTTTCACTCCTAAGTGTCTACCCTAGAGATTTGAGAACCCATGTCCACACCAAAACGTGTACGTAAAATCGTGGCAAGAACTGGAAACAACGCAAACACCCATCAGTTAGCAAATGGACAAATAAAATGTGGTCTATCCATACAATGGAATTCTACCCCGTAATACCAAGGAACTAACACTACTGGACGCAGGCAATGACATAAATGAACCTAAAAACACCGTTATGAAACCTTGTGGGGAAAAGTCAGACAGAAAAGACTACACGATGTGTGATTCTATTTATGTGACATCTCTAGAAAGGGTGGAATTAGAGAGTCGGGAAGCTGAGGAGAGGCCGCTTGGGACCAGAGCAACAGCAAATGGGCAGGACGGAATCTGGGGGCTGATAGAAGAATTCTAAAACCGGATTGGGGTGATGGTTGCACAACTGTAGAAATTTACGACAACTTACTGAACTGTGCACTTACGACGGGTATGGTGTGTAAATTACACCTCACCAAAGAGACAGGACGACCAGAAACAGCCTTCTGCACGTCCTTCTCTCCTTCCTCTGTTCATTTCTTCCTGCATTCTTCCCTCCCTCTCTCTTCCCACTCCTCCTCAAACATTCACTGAACCTCCCAAATGTTCCTGGCCCTGTGCTAAGCACTGCTGTCACACATTTATCCGTGCAGCAAGTGTTTACGGAGCGCCGACGGTATGCTAGGGCTAGGCACAGGCTAGGGGACTGCGGTAGAGTAGTGAAGTCCCTGTCTTTATGGAGCATTCATTTCGGCGGGGCAGGGAGACACAGTACACATGGTGTCGGGAAGCCACGTGTGCTTTGCACAGAGGTGGTCATTTGGGTCTGGGGTCTGGGAAGGCTTGCGGAGATGGCACTTGAGCAGTGGCCTGCATGAACCAAGGGAGCTCTGCACAAAGAGCAGACAGAGGGAACAGGCAGTGTAAAGCTCTAGAGGAGGCTTGCTCCACGTGCCTGAGCAATAGCAAGGAAGCCAGTGTGGCCAGAGCAGAAGGAGCCCGAGGACAGAAAGGGAGGCAGGGGCCAGACCATGAGGACCTTGTTCACCATTGTAAGGACTTTGGACTTTATTTTTAAAGTGATGAGAAACTGCTGGAAGTTCAGAGCTGGACAAGACCCAACCTGACCTGTATTCTCAGGGATCACTTTGACTGCAGAAAGCACAGATGGAAGGGCATTGGGAATGGTACAAGGAGGTTGTCAGGAGACCGACGTCCAGGTGGGAGAGGATTGGTGGCTGGTGCTAGTAGGCGAGGTGGGGCGTGCTCAGAAATGAGTTCTATTTTGGAAGTAGGCCTGATAGGATTTGCAAAGAAAGAGTTGGGGGGCTCAAAAGAATTAATAGCCTAGTGAAGGAAACAGAGCTGCCAAGGCAACGGCTATAATGAACTTTTATTGAGTGCTGACTCTATGCTGGGCACTCCGCCAAACACGTTTTAATTCTTATGGCAACTATAAGGTAGGTGTTTAGAATTATCACCATTTTACAGATGGGAAAATCGAGGCCCCCAAGAGATTAAGCACCTTGCTCAATGTCAAATGATAGAGCTGGGATTTGAATCCAGGTAACCCAATTCCAGACACAGCTGTTCTAATCATTCTGCCACACGAGCTATATGTGCCGATTGCTGGCGTGGAAGCAAGCACAGGTGTGTGGATGTGGTGTCTGGGTGAAGAAGGCAGAAAGGGCTTCCTGGAGTGGAAGAACTTGACCTATAACTAGAAGGGAGAATAGGGTTTCTCCAGGGGAAAAGGTGCACATGCTATTCCAGGCGGGGGAACAGCATATGCAAAGTTATTAGGGCATGGTCAAGCTCAGCATGATCACAAAATAGCATACGATTCAACAAGGCTGGAGTATAAGATGCCTGGGAAATGAGTTTGGTTGGAGAGGAGGGTAAAGGGAAGACCCCGAAGTGCCTTGTGTGCCTGGTCAAGGAATTTGGTACATATCCACAAGGCCGCTGTTTCTCCAAACAGCGGATGCATGGCCCCGGGGCTAAGCAAAATGATTACACTGGCGATACGCAGGCAGGTGCTGTTATTTAGGTAGTTATGGATTACTTATCTATTTATCCTAATGTGAATTAGAAAAATTTATAATTAGTCCATCTGACCTGTGATTTCACAGATATCACTCAGGATGGGAGATACTTTTTTTTTTTTTCTCCAAAGCGGTTTAAAGAAAGAAGTCATATAATTAACATTACAATCATACGATTATTCACGCTGCATTGTCTGTAATATCAAAAGATTGGGAACCACCTTTATGTCCATGAATTGGTTGAAGAAGAATAGAGAAGCAAGGAAGCATTTTGTATTCTGGTATAGGACAAGTTCTAAGGTGTATTGTTAAATTAGAAAGGCAATGGGCAGGATGTTATGTCTGATATGATCCCATTTGTGTTTAAAAAGGGTGTGTGTGTGTATGTGTGCTTATATTAATATATGAATAGACTCTCTCTGGAAGGACGCACAAGACGTGCGTAATGGCGGTTGTCTCTGGAAAGGGGACCTGGTTGGTGGGCAGGGGGGGTGGGACGGCTTTTGCTATGCACCCCATTATGGCTTTTGCATTTTAAACCATTTAAATGCATTCAAAATAAAGTCTGATTATTTGATATTACCAAGAGCACAGGTAACACAGGTGTGAGACGCAGGCCATGGGGAGCTGCAGACGGGCTGCCCAGACCGGAAGCGTTTTCCAGTGGACTTGACTGCGGCGGTCCCAGGTGCTTGCCATCATCTCCGTCTTCCACCCCTTTCCCATCAGTGTTCTCATTTTATTTTCATGAGAATCCTGTGGGGTTTGACCCCTCTGCAAAGGTGAGCACTGCCCATGCAAACCAGTGTCTGTGATTCCGGCCTGAACCAGGCCCTCTGTGTCCCAGTGATCTGAGTCGGCCGCGACGATCACAGCACGTCCGTGCCACGCCCGGGCTCCAGGCTCCGCCCTGCCTCTTCTCCCTGGACAACACAAACCAAGCCTTCTCCTTCTTTCTCTTGAACTTGTTTCTTCTTCCGTAGAAGTGAGATGACTGTACAACCTCTCTCTGTTTCTTCTTCTGTAGAAGAGGGCTGTACAACCTCTCTCCGCAGGGCTAGTGCGGTGAGAATGCAATGAGGTAACACACGAAAAGCACTTAGCACAGTTCGCAGAAGAGATTAAGGATTCAAGAAATCTCAGCCACTATGGGTCATGGCAGTCAAAAACAATTTCTGATCAGGCATGGAGTGGCTCAAGCCTGTAATCCCAGTGCTTTGGGAGGCTGAGGCAGGAGGATCATTTGAGGTCAGGAGTTTAAGACCATGCTGGCTGGGCAGCATAGCAAGACTCTCTATCTAAAAAAACAAGACAAAACAAAGCCAATTTCTTCTTTAAACAAGACGCATTTGAGAACTTACTGCAGGCAAGTGGGGTACAATGTAAGAAAGCGTTTGTCCTTGAGGACTTAGAGAGCCCTGACTTCCTCTTGGGAAAACAAAGCATGAAATGTAGGAGCAAGAACAAGGAAAAATGCGATGCCGTGTACCATCAGTGGAACAGGAAGTTATTTCGGGAGATACATGAACAACCAGAGAATCACAGAGTGCCAGCACTTTCCCCTCTTCTGTTTCCTTCCGTCTTTCTGATGTGTCGAGGAGAAAGTTTCAGCGAGTGCTGATCATGCCTTTAAAACCCTCCTGACATTTGCCGGTCTCCTTTCATAACAAAAGGAGCGTCACTTATTTTAATAATTGCCTTTTATTTATGACATACGTATGGCATTATTTATTTATAGTTTTCCCATAATGATGCGGAGTAAAAGTTTCCTTTAAAATGCATTTCTATAAATAAGCATGCAAGACTCAATTCTGGTGTTGTTCTCTAGATACGGAAAACATCGTGGAGGCAGAACCCAAGTGACAGAAATTAAGAGTTGGTGATTCCAGTAGATGCTGGAAGAGCGAACCGTGGACATTCAGAGGACAGAGAGGTCAGTGTGGACAGTGTTGGTCAGGAAAGGTTCCCTAAAGGGGGTTACACTTGCTGTGGGCCGTCAGGAAAGGCCTGGCTTAAATAGATACAGGAGAAAGAGTTCGGGGCAGAGAAGCCAGAGTGAGCAAAGACCTGGCAGGCTGCTTCCGTGCCTAGAACAGCTTCCCACACGGGTCTGCGGGTCCAAGGTCGCATGTGACTTCCTTGAGAAGCTTATCTTGAACTCACTCTAGGTCTGGTCTCCTGTCACCTGTGCCCTTTTTTTCCCCCCGGAACACTTATCACAGTTTATAATTATATAGCTATTTGTGTGATAGTTGGGTTCATGTCCATTCCTGCCCACTACCCACCCCCATTACGCTGTAAGCTTTGCCAGGGCAGAAACTCTGCCTATTTTTGTTACTGCCATATCTTGGTGTCTGGTATAGTGTTTGGCACAAGGTAGAGACTCAACCACTTGTCTAATCAATTAATCAATCGATGAATCAATCAATCCATTCATTCATTCATTCGTGGTTGCCTTTTCCCTGTGTTTTCCACCGGGGTTGGCCAGAGGGCATGGAGGAGGGAACTGGCGCCCCCGGGGTCTCAGTCTGTAACTGCCAACGGCAAGTACACGAAATGTCTCTTAGGCTCTCCTTTTATCTTAGCAGTGTGTAAGCAGGTGGAATTCTGTGCTGTAATATATCTGTTTGCTTTAATCTCACAGCCATGTTTTCTATTACTCATCGATGAAATAATTCAACTGTTTTTCCCCTAAAACATCTTCTGGTAAATTGACTTTCCAGGAAGATGTGCCATCCTTATTCTGTAACTTCCACCGCTCCCACTGCACGCCCGTTTCGAGAAGCACGTCCTTGAAGACCTTTTACGTTTTTCCAGCTGATTTCAGGGCCTGCAGTGCCGACATGCCCGGGATGAAGGCGAGGCTGCCTCTTGATTCTTTGGGTCTTTTCTCTCGTCCCACTTCGTGTTTTCCCGATTTCATCCCCTTTCTCTTGCTCTTCCCTGGTTCATTCCTCTGGCCCCTCTGAAGCTCATGACTTAAAAAGTATAGGATCTTAGGGCTGAGTCCTGTAGCCCAGGGGTTCTCAAACTTGAACACACATCAGAATCACGTGGGAGGCTTATAAAAGCAGATCGCTGCCCCTCACCCCCAAATTTCCCATTGTGCAGGTCCACTGAGATTTTGCATTTTCTAACGAGTTCCCAGGTGATGCCACGTTGCTGGGTCAGGGACCACTCTTTGAGAACCACTGTTGTCATCTCAACTCCGGCTGCACATTCAAAGCAGCCGAGGAGCTTAAAAGAACCCAAATGTGCAGACCTCATCCCAGACCAACTCCAAATCTCCAGAGCAGAAGCTGAACCATCTGTGTGTTTCGGTTTTCTGTGGGGATTTTAATGCTCTAAAGCTCAGAGAGGCTGTGACTTGCCCAGGGTCACACAGCAAAATGAGGCAGAGGCAAGACTAGAGCCAGGACTTCTGGCTCTCAGAACAGCGTCAATCCCAGTACACCCTTGTGCCCCCGAAATTGTGAAGCTCTCTTCTATACGTTAGCTTATCTAACCCTCACTTTGCAGAAGGGGAAACTGAGGCTCGGGGAGGTGAAGTCCCTGGTGAAGGTGGCAAAGGTGGAACTGGGACGCAGGGCTACCTGCCTTCAAGTGCTGCCCTCTTGGAGGACAGCTTGGGAAAGGGCTGGGCTTGGAAAGCAGAAATACCTGGGCTTGCAGGTAGCCAGGTGACCAGGTGAGCGTGGTCTAAGCCTTAGTCCCCTCATCTCCGAGATGGGGCTAATGGCATCTCACCCTGCAAGAAGCAAATGCTCTGCTCTTGCAGGACACCGAGTCCACCCCATCACCTCGCACGGTCTCTCCCTCACGACCTCAGCGCTGTGTGTTTCTTACGCCCCTCAAAGCCCTTTCAGCCCCTCCATGGGGCCCTGAGATTCTAGGAGGAATCCCACGTAGTCCCTTTGCAGGTCAGAGTTGCAAGACAGAGGTCGTTTTAAGCTATCATTCACATGTCATCTCATTTAATCCCTCAAGCCGCCCTCAGAGGAAGATGCCCCCTGCCCGTTTGTTAGTCTCCACGCTGGTACTGGGCGAGGCTAAGACGGGGCTGGACCAGGACCCAGGGTCGCTCTTAACAGGCAAGTTTACCACCATGTGCGAGCGAATGTGTTCACTTCCAAAGAGCAAAACATACTCCTTTTAAAAGATGTATTCCTTCCCAAACGACAGCAGAGGGCTGGCCTGCGCGGTGCTGCTGGCTAGCAGAGCTCGCTGCCTGCCCCCCGGTGCCAGCCCTGAACCCCAAGCCCCCTTCTCCTTCCCTCCAGGGCCAGCTCCCACCCACAGCCTCCCACGCGCCCCGATGGCTCCAGACGGGAGGCTCGGGAGCCGCTGCCGGGCATTTGGCAGTTTCGAGCTTCTTGAAATCTCTGGGTGCTCGGGGGCACCTGTGCGGTCACTCCGCTCTCTCCTGCCCTTTCAGGACCAGGCTGCCTCCTCTGCCCTCCAGAAATGCCCTGCTCTCTGTCTCACCTTCTTGCTTAGATCTGAACTGTTTCTCCTCATCCCCCACCCCTCGCTCCAAGGAGGCTAGACGTCGAGGAAAGTCGGGGCTTCTCTGGGCTGTCCAGATGGGAGCTTTGGGGAAATCCCGGCACCTTTGGATGAGAGAAAGGAGAAGCTCGTTACTGTGGAGCTAGGATGTCTCGTTCACCATTCCTCCCTCCTTCCCTTCTTCCTTTCCTTCCTTCTTTCCTTTCTTCCTTCCTTAGCTGAAATCAGTGGCAAACTGCTCACATCTGTTTGCTCCTGACGTGTGCTCTTGAACTTGGACTCATTGAGGCGTCCTCCCCTGGGAGCCCCACAGGGGAGGTGGGTAAAACTGATCTTCAGGCTCTCACCAACCTGCCCCCCCCACTGCCTCCCTCGCCAAAACCTCTCATGTCTTAGGCCAAGACGGCCCCCACACCTGGCCCTCCTTGGACAGGAGTCTGTGCTCAACAACCGTAATTGCCAAGGACTCTGGAGTCAGAGATCTGAGTTCAAATACTAGCCTAGTCCCTGACCTTCAGTGTGACCTTGGCAATACACTTAACCTCTCTGAGACTCAGTTTCTTTATCTGAAAAATGGGGATAATATGCCCACAAGGGTCGTTGAGGAGCTCAAACAGGTGTGCCAGGAAAGTGCCTGGCACCCAGCAGGTACGCAAGGCCTGTCCCTGTGTCACCACACTCATGAAAACCCCTTTCTTGTCCCGAGCTGATGGTCAGAGTCACTCAGAGATGACGGATGAGAATGTGTAATATTTCCATCATGAATCCTGCTTTAAAATCTGCTTTTATTTCTATCATCTCATTTCTTACACACTATGCGTGCTTGTGTTACTATTCTTCCAGATCCTCCTTTTCAGAGGAGGAAACTAAGGCTCAGAGAAGTCCCGTGACTTTCCAGGATCTAAGAGTCAGTCAAAGCAGGGTTCGGCATTTCAGCCCAGGTCTGAGAAATCCAGAGCCTCGGGCTTGTCGCCTGGGTAGTATGTTCACACATTGTTCTGGCCCTGGTATGTTTGCATTTTTATAAAAAGCTCAAATAAATGACTGCTGAATAGAATTTTGTACCGTTTCGACTGGCCAGTGGGGAGACCTGTATTGAGGCAAGGAGGGGCTCCACGGGGTCATAGCCCTACGGTCATCCCAGAAGAGTGACCTCACTCTTAAGGCTAATGGGGGGGAAATCATTGCTTATAGAGCTGGAAGGAACCCAGAGAAAGTGTGTTCCCCATGGCAGCATCCCACACAGGGCGAGGAGACCTAGCCTGGGATCTGAACCCCTGCCTTGCGTCCGCTTTGTGGGTCCCTTTGCAGGACCGAGGGGAGGGAGGGGACTCGTGGCTCCTGTACCCTTGAGCCTTAGTGACAACAACTGGGAGCTTTTCCAGCTGTCGGAGACCCAGTCCTTCCTCCTCATTCCAACTCTTCCAAGTCAAAGGGCCGGGAGGTGGCAGAAGGCTCCGTCTTACATCCACCAGGGCCCACTCTCTGGGAGGACGTGGAGACCCCTGTCATCAGTCCAGGGGCCTCTGGGGAGTGAGGAATGACCCCCCCAGCCTCCCCCACACTCACTCACACACTCCCCACTTCAGGGAGGGGGCAGGGGGGGAGCTGGCAGTGACTGAGAGCTCCATCCAGCGCCAAGCATCGATCTGGCTCTCCGCGTTGCCATGGCGACAGCTCATCCACATGGAGCTCGGCACCAAGAGGCTTCTTCAGCCCGGAGTCCCCTGCCCCCACTGTCCTAGACACTTTTCCATCTGCTCCCCCCAACCACCCTCCCCTCTCCCAGACTCCCCCTCCCATCTTTTTGTCCCCCCTCTCCTCTCCTTGAGGGTCACCCAAGCCCCCTTGCCGTGTCTCCCTGCACCTTACAGACCACCAGGCCCTGGGACCCCAAGCCGGTAGGGCGGCGCCAGCGGCTCTATCTCCCAGGTACCCACAGAGATGCAGCCAGCGGGACAGGATGGAATTTCTCTCTGAGCTGGGAGGCTGGAAGCAATTCTTTCTTCCGCAAGCCCTGTGCTTCCCTGCTCCCCAGTCTGACCCGAGTCTGGGGCAGGGTAGAGGCCACCGACCTGTTTTTCTGCCTGAAAGAACCTGGAGAGAAAGAAGCTCAGACCTAATATCAGACGGACCTGCCACCCACTAGCTTTGCAACTTCGGCAAGTGGCAACTTCTGAGAATCAGTTTCTTCCACTAAAATAAAATAAAAACAATAACAGCAACATCTCTCTGGTTATTGTGAGGATGAAATGAGGATGCCAGTGGCCGCTCACATGTATTGAGTCCTTGCTATGTTGCTATGTGCCAGGCACTGTGCTGGGTGTCATGTGTACAACTCAGTCCTGTGAGGTCACCACACGTATTGTCCCATCATTTACAGATGAGGGCTAATACATATGGTACATGACTTGCCTAAGGTCCCCAGCACGGCAGTCATTGGGGTAGTCTTTGATCCCAGGGAGCCTGCTTCCTAGGTTCTTGGGTTGAACTCTATATTCTCTTGTCCTCGGTGCTGGAAAAGTGACAAAGCCTGACACAAGTAGGTGATGAATGATATCATTCATACCGACAGTTAATTAATTAATCACTATTTATGTGCCTAATATGTCTCGGGAGGTAGAATACCATGATAAATTATACACAGTCCTTGTCCTTGAAAATGTAAGGTGCTGTCTCAGGAGACCGACATGCAGACAGGTAAGGCAGTGTGGCGTAGGGGGTTGAACCCTGGCTCTGGAACAGCCAGGTCTGAGTGCAAATATCACCTCCTCAGTCTACACGGCTGGTGATCTTCACCAGTTACTGCACCTTACGAACCCTTATCTCCTCATCTATACACAAAGGAACTTTCGATCACACACACCATACAGAGCAGAAGGAAAATGTACACACAATCCATAGACAATGCCCAGAATAAATACTCCATAACAGGGCAATGTCAGTATTTTCACTATCAGCTCAGTTACACTGGACCCGGAGGAGGAAGGGTCAGTTCTGTTTGGAGGAATCAGGAAAGGCTTCATGAAGGTAGGGAGCCTCTTGCAGATCTTGGAAGAATGGCTGTTTGCCAGGCCGTCTGGGAGAGGCAGGTCATTTAAGGCAAAGGATAGGGCTGGAGAAAAGGCCTGAGACAGCCTGGGGGGTGTGTGTGAGAAGGCATGCTGTGTGCATAGCAATAGCATTTATGGAGCATTTACTATGTGCCTGGCGTGCTTTAGGTCGGTGGCTCTCTGTCCTGGCTGCCCATTAGAAAAACTGCAGAGGTTTGTGTTTGATCTGTTTGAATATGAATGCCAGCCTCCATCCCTGGAGATTCGTTTTAATTGATTTGGGGCGGCCCAGCTATCTCCTCTTTGCAAGCTCCTCAGGTGATGCTTATATGGATCCAGGCTTAAGAAGCTCTGGGCTAGTGTTTTAGAAGTATTAACTCATTTAATCTCCATGACAACTCCTCGAAGTCAGCGCCAAGGCTCCGACTCCAAGATCACACAGCAAGAAGTTGTAAGGTTGAATGAAGGCAAATCTAACTTTGGATGCTCTCTTAACCACTAGGCTACAGATGGCAAGGAAGGTGTTTGGGCAGGGAGGAGGAGGGGAGGGAACAGCAAAATAGAAATGGTGGGGGGAGGTAGATGGAAAGTCTCAGGTGTCATGTGGCAGCTCCTCTGATTGTCTGATTGTCAGCTTTGTGTTCCCACCTGCTTGTCTGGTCCAGGCATGGGTGCAATTTTCTTGCAAGCATCTCGATGCATGTGCTTCTGGGTCAGGACCTAACCGCCTTGTCACATCCCTGGTCTTCACTGAGTGACACTCAATTTTAATGTAGTATTGGACCATCCAGGGGATGTATCAAAATGCAGATTCTGATTCAGTAGACCTGGGGTTCAGTGTGGATTGGCAATAACTTAACTCTCTGAGACTCATTTCTTTACGAAAAATGGGTATAATATGCCCACAAGGGTCGTGAGGAGCTCTCAACAGGTGGCAGGAAAGTGCCTTGGGCACCAGCAGGTCGCAAGGCCTGTCCTGTGTACCACACTCATGAAAACCCTTCTTGTCCCGAGCTGATGGTCAGAGTCCTCAGGGATGACGATGGAGATGTGTTAATATTTCCATCATGATCGTGTTAAAATCTGCTCGTTATTTTATACTCATTTCTTACACACCATGCCTGCTTGTTTACTTTCTTCCAGATCTCCTTTTCGAGGAGGAATAGGCTAGGAGAAGTCCGTGACTTTCCCAGGATCTAGGGTCAGTCAAAGCAGGGCTCCATTTCAGCCCGGTCTTGAGATCCAGAGCCTCGGGCTTGTCGCTGGGTAGTATGTTCCACATTGTCTGGCCCTGGTATGTTTGTTTTATAAAAAGCTCAAAATAATGACTGCTGATAAGAATTTTGTACGTTTCGACTGGCCAGTGGGGAGACCTGTATTGGAGGCGAAGGGAGGGGCTCCCGGTTCATAGCCTACGGTATCGAGAGTGACCTAACTTTAAGGGTATATGCGGGGGAAATATTGCTTATAGAGCTGTAAGGAACCCAGAGAAAGTGTGTTCCCATGGCAGCGTTCCACACAGGAGAGACCTAGCCTGGGATCTGAACCCCTGCCTTGCGTCCACTTTGTAGGGTCCCTTTGCAGGACCGAGGGGAGGAGGGATCCGTGGCTCCTGTACCCTTGGCCTTAGTGAAACAACTGGGAGCTTTTCCGCTGTGGAACCCGTGAGGCATGGAGGGAGGAACTGCGGCGCCCCCGGGTCTCAGTCTGTAACTGCCAACGGCAAAGTACACGAAATGTCTCTTAGGCTCTCTTTTATCTTAGCAGTGGTGTAAGCAGGTGGAATTCTGTGCTGTAATATATCTGTTTGCTTTAATCTCACAGCCATGTTTTCTATTACTCATCGATGAAATAATTCAACTGTTTTTTCCCTAAAACATCTTCTGGTAAATTGACTTTCCAGGAAGATGTGCCATCTTATTCTGTAACTTCCACCGCTCCCACTGCACGCCCGTTTCGGAGAAGCACGTCCTTGAAGACCTTTTACGTTTCCAGCTGTTTCAGGGCCTGCGTGCGACTGCCCGGGATGAGGCGAGGCCTGCCTCTTGATTCTTTGGGTCTTTTCTCTCGTCCCACTTCGTGTTTCCCGATTTCATCCCTTTCTCTTGCTCTTCCCTGGTTCATTCCTCTGGCCCTCTGAAGCTCATTGACTTAAAAGTTATAGGATCTTAGGGCTGAGTCCTGGTAGCCAGGGGTTCTCAACTTGAACACACTCAGAGTCACGTGGAGGCTTATAAACAGATCGCTGCCCCTCACCCCAAATTTTCCCATTGTGCAGGTCCACTGAGATTTGCATTTTCTAACGAGTTCCCAGGTGATGCACGTTGCTTGGTCAGGGACCACTCTTTGAGAACCACTGTTGTCATCTCAACTCCAGCTGCACATTCAAAGCAGCCGAGGAGCTTAAAAGAACCAAATGTGCAGACCTCATCCCAGACCAACTCCACATCTCCAGAGCAGAAGCTGAACCATCTGTGGTGTTTCGGTTTTCTGTGGGATTTTTAATGCTCTAAAGCTCAGAGGAGGCTGTGACTTGCCCAGGGTCACACAGCAAAATGAGGCAGAGGCAAGACTAGAGCCAGGACTTCTGGCTCTCAGAACAGCGTCAATCCCAGTACACCCTTGTGCCCCGAAATTGTGAGCTCTCTTCTATACGTTAGCTTATCTAACCCTCACTTTGCAGGAGGGAAACTGAGGCTCGGGAGGTGAAGTCCCTGGTGAAGGTGGCAAAGGTGGAACTGGGACGCAGGCTACCTGCCTTCAAGTGCTCCCTCTTGGAGGACAGCTTGGGAAAGGGCTGGGCTTGGAAAGCAGAAATACCTGGGCTTGCAGGTAGCCAGGGTGACCAGGGAGCGTGGGGTCTAAAGCCTTAGTCCCCTCATCTCCGAGATGGGGCTAATGGCATCTCACCCTGCAGGAGGCAAATGCTCTGCTCTTGCAGGACACCGAGTCCACCCCATCACCTCGCACGGTCTCTCCTCACGACCTCAGCGCTGTGTGTTCTTACGCCCTCAAAGTCCTTCCAGCCCTCCACGGGCCCTGAGATTCTAGGAGGATCCCACGTAGTCCCTTGCAGGTCAGAGTTGCAAGACAGAGGTCGTTTTAAGCTATCATTCACATGTCATCTCATTTAATCCCTCAAGCTGCCCCAGGAGGAAGATGCCCCTGCCCGTTTGTTAGTCTCCACGCTGGTACTGGGCGAGGCTAAGACGGGCTGGACCAGGACCCAGGGTCGCTCTTAACAGGCAGGTTTACCACCATGTGCGGGCGAATGTGTTCACTTCCAAAGAGCAAACATACTCCTTTTAAAGATGTATTCCTTCCCAACGACAGCAGAGGGCTGGCCTGCGCGTGTGCTGCTGGCTAGCAGAGCTCACTGCCTGCCCCCCGGTGCCAGCCCTGAACCCCAAGCCCCCTTCTCCTTCCCTCCAGGCCAGCTCCCACCACAGCCTCCACGCGCCCCGAGGGCTCCAGACGGAGGCTCGGGAGCCGCTGCCGGGCATTTGGCAGTTTCGAGCTCTTGAAATCTCCGGGTGCTCGGGGCACCTGTGCGGTCACTCCGCTCTCTCCTGCCCTTTCAGGACCAGGCTGCCTCCTCTGCCCTCCAGAAATGCCCTGCTCTCTGTCTCACCTTCTTGCTTAGATCTGAACTGTTTCTCCTCATCCCCCACCCCTCGGCTCCAAGGAGGCTAGACGTCGAGGAAAGTCGGGGCTTCTCTGGCTGTCCAGATGGGAGCTTTGGGAAATCCCGGCACCTTTGGATGAGAGAAAGGAGAAGCTCGTTACTGTGGAGCTAGGATGTCTCGTTCACCATCCTCCCTCCTTCCCTTCTTCCCTTCCTTCTTCTTTCCTTTCTTCCTTCCTTAGCTGAAATCAGTGGCAAACTGCTCCATCTGTTTGCTTCCTGACGTGTGCTCTTGAACTTGGACTCATTGAGGCGTCCTCCCCTGGGAGCCCCACAGGGAGGTGGGTAAAACTGATCTTCAGGCTCTCACCAACCTGCCCCCCCACACTGCTCCCTCACCAAACTCTCATGTCTTAGGCCAAGACGGCCCCCACACCTGGCCCTCCTTGGACAGGAGTCTGTGCTAACAACCGTAATTGCCAAGGACTCTGGAGTCAGAGATCTGAGTTCCAATACTAGCCTAGTCCCTGACCTTCAGTGTGACCTTGGCATACACTTAACCTCTCTGAGACTCAGTTTCTTTATCTGAAAATGGGATAATATGCCCACAAGGGTCGTTGAGGAGCTCAAACAGGTGTGCCAGGAAAGTGCCTGGCACCCAGCAGGTACGCAAGGCCTGTCCTGTGTCACCACACTCATGAAAACCCCTTTCTTGTCCCGAGCTGATGGTCAGAGTCACTCAGGGATGACGGATGAGAATGTGTAATATTTCCATCATGAATCCTCTTAAAATCTGCTTTTATTTCTATCATCTCATTTCTTACACACTATGCCTGCTTGTGTATATTCTTCCAGATCCTCCTTTCAGAGGAGGAAACTAAGGCTCAGAGAAGTCCCGTGACTTTCCAGGATCTAAGAGTCAGTCAAGCAGGCTCGGCATTTCAGCCCAGGTCTGAGAAATCCAGAGCCTCGGCTTGTCGCCTGGGTAGTATGTTCACCACATTGTCCTGGCCCTGGTATGTTTGCATTTTATAAAAAGCTCAATAAATGACTGCTGAATAGAATTTTGTACCGTTTCGACTGGCCAGTGGGAGACCTGTATTGAGCAAGGAGGGGCTCCACGGGGTCATAGCCCTACGGTCATCCCAGAAGAGTGACCTCACTCTTAAGGCTAATGAAATCATTGCTTATAGAGCTGGAAGGAACCCAGAGAAAGTGTGTTTCCCCATGGCAGCACCCACACAGGGCGAGAGACCTAGCCTGGGATCTGAACCCCTGCCTTGCGTCCACTTTGTGGTCCCTTTGCAGGACCGAGGGGAGGAGGACTCGTGGCTCCTGTACCCTTGAGCCTTAGTGACAACAACTGGGAGCTTTTTCAGCTGTCGGAGACCCAGTCCTTCCTCCTCATTCAACTCTTCCAAGTCAAAGGCCGGGAGTGGCAGAAGGCTCCGTCTTACATCCACCAGGCCCACTTCTTGGGAGGACAGGGAGACCCCTGTCATCAGTCCAGGGGCCTCTGGGGAGTGAGTAATGACCCTCCCCCCAGCCTCCCCCACACTCACTCACACACTCCCCACTTCAGGGAGGGGGCGGGGGGGGGGGCTGGCAGTGACTGAGAGCTCCATCCAGCGCCAAGCATCGATCTGGCTCTCCGCGTTGCCATGGCGACAGCTCATCCACATGGAGCTCGGCACCAGGAGGCTTCTTCAGCCCGGAGTCCCCTGCCCCCACTGTCCTAGACACCTTTCCATCTGCTCCCCCTAACCGCCCTCCCCTCTCCCAGACTCCCCCTCCCATCTTTTTGTCCCCCCTCTCCTCTCCTTGAGGGTCACCCAAGCCCCCTTGCCGTGTCTCCCTGAACCTTACAGACCACCAGGCCCTGGGACCTCAAGCCGGTGGGGCGGCGCCAGCGGCTCTATCTCCCAGGTACCCACAGAGATGCAGCCAGCGGGACAGGATGGAATTTCTCTCTGAGCTGGGAGGCTGGAAGCAACTTCTTTCTTCCCGCAAGCCCTGTGCTTCCCTGCTCCCCAGTCTGACCCGAGTCTGGGGCAGGGGTAGAGGCCACTGACCTGTTTTTTCTGCCTGAAAGAACCTGGAGAGAAAGAAGCTCAGACCCTAATATCAGACGGACCTGCCACCCACTAGCTTTGCAACTTCTGGCAAGTGGCAACTTCTGAGAATCAGTTTCTTCCACTAAAAATAAAATAAAAACAATAACAGCAGCCATCTCTCTGGGTTATTGTGAGGATGAAATGAGATGCCAGTGGCCGCTCACATGTATTGAGTCCTTGCTATGTTGCTATGTGCCAGGCACTGTGCTGGGTGTCATGTGTACAACTCAGTCCTGTGAGGTCACCACACGTATTGTCCCCATCATTTACAGATGAGGAGCTAATACATATGGTACATGACTTGCCTAAGGTCCCCAGCACGGCAGTCATTGGGGTAGTCTTTGATCCCAGGGAGCCTGCTTCCTAGGTTCTTGGGTTTGAACTCTATATTCTCTTGTCCTCGGTGCTGGAAAAGTGACAAAGCCTGACACAAAGTAGGTGATGAATAGATATCATTCATACCCGACAGTTAATTAATTAAATCACTATTATGTGCCTAATATGTCTCAGGAGGTAGAAATACCATGATAAATTATACACAGTCCTTGTCCTTGAAAATTGTAAGGTGCTGTCTCAGGAGACCGACATGCAGACAGGTAAGGGCAGTGTGGCGTAGGGGGTTGAACCCTGGCTCTGGAACAGCCAGGTCTGAGTGCAAATATCACCTCCCCAGTCTACACGCTGGGTGATCTTCACCAGTTACTGCACCTTACGAACCCTTATCTCCTCATCTATACACAAAGGAACTTTCGATCACACACACCATACAGAGCAGAAGGAAAATGTACACACAATCCATAGACAATGCCCAGAATAAATACTCCATAACAGGGCAATGTCAGTATTTTCACTATCAGCTCAGTTACACTGGACCCCGGAGGAGGAAGGGGTCAGTTCTGTTTGGAGGAATCAGGAAAGGCTTCGTGAAGGTAGGGAGCCTCTTGCAGAATCTTGGAAGAATGGCTGTTTGCCAGGCCGTCTGGGTGAGGCAGGTCATTTAAGGCAAAGGATAGGGCTGGAGAAAAGGCCTGAGGCAGCCTGGGGTGTGTGTGTGTGAGGAAGGGCATGCTGTGTGCATAGCAATAGCATTTATGGAGCATTTACTATGTGCCTGGCGCTGCTTTAGGTCGGTGGCTCTCTGTCCTGGCTGCCCATTAGAAAAACCTGCAGAGGTTTGTGTTTGATCTGTTTGAATATGAATGCCAGCCTCCATCCCTGGAGATTCGTATTTAATTGATTTGGGGCGGCCCAGCTATCAGTCCTCTTTGCAAGCTCCTCAGGTGATGCTTATATGGATCCAGGCTTAAGAAGCTCTGGGCTAGGTGTTTTAGAAGTATTAACTCATTTAATCTCCATGACAACTCCTCGAAGTCAGCGCCAAGGCTCAGACTCCAAGATCACACAGCAAGAAGTTGTAAGGTTGAATGAAGGCAAATCTAACTTTAGGATGCTCTCTTAACCACTAGGCTACAGATGGCAAGGAAGGTGTTTGGGGCAGGGAGAGGGCAGGGGGAGAGGAGACAGCAAAATAGAAATGGTGGGGGGAGGGTAGATGGACAAGTCTCAGGTGTCATGTGGCAGCTCCTCTGATTGTCTGATTGTCAGCTTTGTGTTCCCACCTGCTTTGTCTGGTCCCAGGCATGGGTGCAATTTTCTTGCAAGCATCTCATGCATGTGCTTCTGGGGATCAGGACCTAAACCGCCTTGTCACCATCCCCTGTCTTCACTGAGTGGACACTCAAATTTTAATGTAGTATGGACCATCCAGGGGATTGTATCAAAATGCAGATTCTGATTCAGTAGACCTGGGGCGGGGCCTGGGATTCTGCATTTCCTACAAACCGGGTGAAGCCAGTGCCGCTGGTCTGCAGACCACACTCAGAGTAGCAGCGAATAAAAATGCGAGTATAAGGTGCCCATTCTGCCTGTGGACCCATGCATTCTTGACCTTAGACAGAGCTCCCTCCTTTCTGCCCTAGGAGTGACATCTGCACCCTCTGCCTCCTCGTCAGGCTGCAGAAATGACTGGTTTTATTTGTGTTCTCCTTAGGTGATACTACAATATTATTACCTCAGTAGCAATTCTCCAATTTTAGCTTGCATTAGAATCACCTGGAAAGCTTGTGAAAAAATTCGGATTGCTTGGCCCTACCCCAGGGTTTCTGATTTAGCAGGTCTGTATGGGGCCGGAGAGTCTGCATGCCCACCGAGCTCCCAGGAGAGGCTGGTGCCGCTGTTCTGGGCACCATAGCTGTATTACAGTAATACCCCCAGGACAGCATTTTTTAAATCGTGTCCACTGTGGTTAGATGCACTAGCTTACTTGCCATCCCAATGAAAGGGGCATTTGCTATGGAGTCCCTGGCTTCAAGTCCTGGCTGTGCCACTAGCTCCATTCATGACCAGACAGTTATGGGTTGAGTTGGCTGAATATAATGGAAAACCCAAATAACAATGGCTTATTCAAGACAGGGGTTTATTTTTGTCTCATGTGACATAAAATGCAGAGGTAGGTGACCTAGGGCTATTGTGGTAGGTCCCAGAAGTCAGCGACATTCCAGACTCCTGACTTTGTGCTCTGCTCTAACATGTAGCTTCCATCATCAAGATCATCTCGTGGGCACAGAATGGGCACCTCAGCTCTGGCCTTCAAGCTTCAATTCCAGAAGAAGAAAGGGGGAGAAGGCAACAGGTTAGACCCTCCTGTAAGATTTTCTGGAAGCCACACCTAACAACTCCCACTCATATCTCATTGGTCAGAACTCAGTCACATGACCAGCCTTCTCTGAAAGGGAGGCTGGGAAATGTAGTTTTTTAAAAAAACCTGGCTATATAATCACTAATAACAAAATCTGGGTTCTGATCATAAGGACGAAGAAGAAAATGACTATTGCTACTTCTAGCTGTAGATAACTAGTAGTCCTTACCACAGTGACCTTGGGCAAGTGTCTTCTACTTTTGGGCTCTGCCTCTCCAAATATAAAGTTGGTCTTAATAATCAAAGAGATTATGTTCAACTCCAAAGCAATCAGATTCCATGATTTCATACCTGAACTCATTTATCAGTGTGATGCTTAACGGGAAGGAACGAGGCCTGGCCATTGTCCTCATGCAGCACCCAAGTGTGCTCACGCTGATGAATTATCAGAATATAGCCTGTGTTTATCTATCCATCCACCTATTAAAAATATTCCTGAGCACCTGCTACTGCTAAGAATTAGGGATACAGCCATGAGTAACACAGACATGGTCCCTGCTCTCCTTGCACTCTTGAGCTTACAGTTTAGCCAGGAAGACAGTAGCCAATAATGCTGCAAATGTTCAATGAGGTGCTGTAAAGAATGTGGATATGCTACGTGTTATAAAGAAAATGTGTGGGGGGTGTAATTCAGATGGGAGGAGGGATGAGAAGATTTCTCCAAGAATTTATTATGAAGCTAAGACCTGAAGGAGGAATCAGCTATGCAAAGTGTCAGAGGGGGTACATTCCACGCAGAGAGAACAACAAGTTCAGACACAAGCCCCGAGGCAGGAGAGAACTGGGCTCATTCTAGGAAATGAAAGATGGCCAGGCTGTCCAGACATCATCAACAAGGACAAGGCTGACGTGGAATGAGGCCGGAGAGGTCAGCAGATACCACAACTTGCAGAGCCACGTAAGTCCTGGGAAGGAGTTTGGATCCTATTCTAAGGGCAGTGGGAAGCTATTGGCATGTTTTAAGCAGAGGTGGGGCAAGGATGACATGATGCCATGTGCATCTTTACAAAGATTTCTCTAGATGCTCTATGAATAACAGATTTTTAAGGGGCCCAGAGTAGAGATGAGGAGCCCTATAGGAGGCTCTATCTGAATAGGAGCTGAACAGGGTTTGGACTGGGGTGGTAGTGAGAAGTAGTCACACTGAGAGTGATCTGGGATATTCATCCATCCAACCATCTATTCACCCATCCCCCCTCCATCAATGCACTCAGTCACCCACCCACCTACCCATCTATCCATTCATCCATCCATCCTTCATTCTATCCATCCATCCATCCATCCATCCATCCACCAACCCATGCAACAAACATTTATAAAGTATCTTTAAGTGCCAGCTTTAAATGTGTTGGGTAAATAAGACAGTTCATTCTCTCAAGGAGTTTACAAGTTAGAGGTGGAAAAAGAGACACACAAACCAATCATCACAGTTCAGTGCAGGCCATAACAGCAGTGAATTCCAAGAGGTGTGGGAAGAGACTATCACCAGTGGTGACCTGTTTGCCTAGTGCCACCATGTGATTCACCATTCTGCCTGCCAAGGGTGAAGACTTTTCCAAGCCACAGAGAAACAAACACATTTGGGGGCAATAGCAAGATAAGGGAAATAGCCTTGAAATTCAGCTTGGAAATAAAATAAAAATCCAAGGAGATGCTAGGAAGTAGACACATCCAGAATGGATGGAGTTATCCTGTGGATCTATCCTATGGGATCCTTCAGCATGAGTGTAAAGACTCTTGCTGGAAGCCCACTGGATATTGGCTGGGTTCTAGCTGCTCTCAGAGGGAAGGATTAGCTGCTCCAGACACAAAACAAACCACAGAGGAACAAGCTTGGGTTTTGGAGTCAGACTTGTTTCAAACTCTGCTCAGTTGTGTGCAAATAACTTAACCTCTCTGAGCGTCAGCTGCTTCAAATCTAAAATGGTAAATAGTATTGAGAAACCCTGGAATAAGACGTGCAAGTTCTGAGACTGGCCCATTGTTAGTGGGCCAAAGAAACTGAGAATGTAGATGCAACTAGGGCCAAGAAGGCACATAACATAATGGTCAATGGTGTAGACTCTGGAACCTTACCTCCTGGGATCAAATCTTCCAACCTTCTCTTCTTTCCTGTTCCATTTGCGTATGGAAAACCATGTCCAGTCATGGCCCCATAGCTGAGGCAATACCACCATGTTCTCCTTTGACCATAGCTCCAAGACCTTCAGAATATCTTGCCAGGCTCTTCAACAGATGAAGGGTTATCATCCTCCTATAGATTTGGTAACTTAGGCCCAAAGGAATTCAGAACTTTGGCCAAGCATAAATTTTCATTTTACAAAGGGATAAAGAGCCTCCAAGGCTGTCCGTGTTTAATGCAAGGCCACAGTGCTAGTAAGCAGATAAGCTGGGATTTGAACCTAGGCCTGTCTAGCTCCAGAATCCTTCTTTCACAGAGTTCAGAGTCTACTGGGAGGAGGGGAGGAGTTGAAGGAGACAATAGATGAGTAGATGAGTAAGTCAGCAAAGTGATGATAAAAATAATTATAAGAGCTGTGAAGAAAATGAACAGGGTGATATGATAGAGAGGAAATGGGAAGAGAAGTCTCTTTCAATGGGGAGACCAGGAACAGACTCCCATAAAAGAGGTAGTCATTGAACCCTAAAACCATTCCTGCTAATGCATGTAATGCATGTATGTAATGCATGCAGCATAATATTTGGCACCTAGAAAGCTCCCAATATGTGCTAGCTGTTAGTAAGGAAAGTAAAATGCTTTCTCAAAGACCACTGTAGAATCAAAGGGGCAGTGTGCACTTTGTCCTACCTCCAACACATGTGAGCAGTAGGGGTTTGGCAAGCAGAGTCCTTGGCAGGCTCAGAGCCACAGCACCTGGGAGCAGCTGTCTCATTCAGGGCTTGGCAACTCCCCCCCCCTCCCCCCCCCCCCCCCCCGTCCCCTGCAGAATGGAGAATGCCAAGGGGCTAAGAGTCATCTCTGCCGGCCATACAGTAGCCTCGTGACCTTGGACAACTCACATCTTCTGTCTGGGCATCTGTTTGCTCATCTGTAAAATGAAGTTTTTGGTCTAGATGGGTTTTTAAGGTCCCTTCTGGCTCTAACTCTGTGTCACCTCAACTCTTACCAACTCCTCCCTCCTTCTGCGGAGGTGGTCCCACAGTGCCCTCTATTGGCCATCCAGTAGAGAACAGGGACAACACAGAACTCAGATGTTTACGGCAGGGGTGGGGTGGGGTGGGGAGCAGGACAGACTGGGCCTGCCAGCTGCCCCTCTTCTGTGGGGGACTTAGAACCGGATCAGCACACAGGGTAAGAGTCAGGAAATCTGACTCCCATCTGACTTGAAAACTACTTATTGCAACAATAGCAGTATTAGCTAACATTTATTTAGGGATACCCATTTACCAGGTAGGGGCTAGATGTTGTACATAAAGTCGCTGAGCATCAGGCACACAGGCCTAAAGGATGAGGACTTGCCCCTGTGAAGGTCAGCTGGAAAGATTACGACAGCCAAGAGGACAGCGTGGATGCAGGCCCTGGAGGAGGAAAGCACGTTGGAGTGTTCAAGGAACCAAAGGAAGTGGAGTCAAGACTTACTAGACACTGGAGGCTAAAGAATTCTGGTATTTAAAACCACCATGCCTGATGGACATGATGTACATGTTTCAAGTACAAACACCTTGAAACACTGCTTAGCAGTATCTGCTAAAACTGAATATACACACTCCCAGAGAAATGGGTCCGTGTGCTCACGAAAAAGCATGTACAAGAAAGCAGTGTGCTGTCCAATAGCTGAGAGCTGGACACAACCCACGTGTCCATCAACAGTGGAATGGATCAATAGATTAGGCTCTATTCTTCCAATAGAATAATGTCAGCAACTAGAATGATCAAAGTGTAATTAAACACAACATCAATCACATTCACAAAGATAACGTTGAATGTAAGAAACCAGGCTCAAAAGATATAGGATTTCCTTTGTACAAAATTTAAAAACAGGCAGAACCACTCCATGGTACTAGAGTCAGGGTAATGATCACCCTCTGGAGGGCTAGGAACTGGAGGGGCAAGAGGGGGCTTTCTGGGGAGCAGCTACTGTTCATGCTTTATGAACTGTGTGCTGGTTACGTGGGAGGGCTCATCTTGTTAGAATTCATCGAGTCATACATGTGAAATATTAATATGTGCATGATCTGTGCATTATAAGCCCAGAAAATAGAGTAAAAGCATTATGTGGTTACAAAGTAGCATCACCTTGTTCATCCCAGCCACACTTTCTGTCACCACCAGCGGGAGCAACGCAGACATGACTGTGTTGAGAACAGGACCCTAAGTGCTTCCTTTTCCGCCTGGGCGGCTCCATCTGCAGGGGGACACTTGACAAGGCGCAGCAGTTCCACGGAGCCCCTAAAGAGTAGACAGTGACGGGCGCGGGAGCTGGCTCACGGGGATTTTCAGAAGGAGCCCGAAGGAATCAAGAAAGGAAGAGTTTTCTCCCAAGTCACGTCTGAGTTCGGAGCCTGCTCGGCATTTCAGCACCAGGGAGGCGCTCTCCCAGGTGCTGAAACAACCGTTGCGTTTGGGGGCCAAGTTTACCAGTGGGGATTTGTCTTGAAATCCACAAGCCAGATGAAAGGGCGGTGCTGGGGCAGGAAGGTTTGACATCCACACCCTGTCAACAGCAGATTCATGGGGCGTCAAGCACCGCAGAGGAGGGCTCATTATCTCAATTGACAGACGACCCGAGGGAAGTTGAGTGGAGTTCTTGAACTCTCACATCAGCTGAAGTCAGACTGAAACGTGAATGTCTTGACTCCTTGTTCAGTGCTCTCTGCGTGTCAGTTTCCTTGTAGACACAAAGAGGAAGCTTTGTAAAGCTCCTCCGTGTCTCCCAGGGCCAATGATTCTTCCGAGTTCCTGTGGAGGGTGA